GTCGCCGTCCCTTCACCTAGTCTGGTCAACATACTTCAGCCACGTTATTGTGACTCAACGCCTGCATTTGAAATAGGAAATATTTGCCTATAAGCCTCCCTCCCAGAAAGTCTTAGGATATCATGAACTAGAAGAAAGCACGTTGTGAATGGCTAACTAATGTGACACGCGGACAGTTTGTGGTGGGTGTGGGGGCGGTGACCCCGCGTGTCGACGCTGACACTTGAACTAGCAAGAACATGAACCCCGTGGAAGAGACGTGGCAGTAACTCCCCCGTGCAGTCATTCACCCACATTAGTCATACACTTTCACGTCAACATAAATACAGGTATTTCTTGAATGTTTGAAATAATATACACGGTTGTATAAAATGATACATTGGTAGCTTGCAACAAGTCTCAAATGTGATTATTCCAGACTTTGCAGTTGCATGGTGAGGTCAACAATCCTTGAAAACTACTAAATAAAGGGAATGCGATATTTATATAATACTCTACTCACCGCAAATGAAATAAGTGACGGAGTTTCAGTTCGTTCTGGACCATTATCATGCAAGTCTTGATATCTGGTCACGGCTTGACCAAGGGGTCCAGGGTGGACCTAAATGTGGCCACTTTCATTTAGTTTCGTAAGTGTGGGTACTTATCCCAGCCACGTTATTGTTACTTTTCTACAATGCAGTACTTTATAATACATTAGTTGGTATGGGACTTGGTAACTATGGAGAATACCAAAAGTAATCCGCGTAGGGGAACGGGTTGAGATCATACTGCGTCCTTGGCTGTTTATCCTTTTGGGGGTGTATGTTAGTCTTGATATACTTTAACTTTAGTCCTTGGGGTATGTAGGGGGGGTTGATGCAGCTTACTGCCCTGGACCAGGATTCATAGAGCATTTACACATCCTCTTAGAAACCTGTGCATCTGTTAACAAATATGGCTTTCTTTTACATTAACAAATGTAACAAAAACATTTATGTTTAAGGAATGATGTTTCGTAAGTGGACACGTAAAAGCTTGATAAAACCTTGCCTAGAATGTTGAGCAAAGAATAAATAACAAATTTGTACAGCCAGTCTGTATAAATTCATTCATAATGTTATTTCTGGGTGGACGGTGAATAAGGGTACACTTTTTACACTGTGATTGCCAACGTTTACGTGTGTATTTGTGCGTATGGCAAAACATCGTCATACTAAAGAAGAAAAAATAGAAAATGTTGATTTTGCAATTGTGTCAAGGACTTATTGTTTTGCCGTGTAATCCAATCTGGCGGTTTATTGTCCGAGGTATATACACACCTGGGAGGAATTGGGTGCACCTTGAACTGTTGACTTGCTTACCTTACCACACAGAGTGGCGAGGGTGGCCGGGGTGGTGCAGTTAGGCTCCGGGGGTGAAGGCGAGGGGGTGTCAATTGTGGTGGGCGGGGCGGGGCGGGCCGGGCCGGGCCGGGCTAGTGGGTTCTGGAGGCGTTGCGTTAGACATCCGGCAACTGGTAAAGCGGGGCTCAGGAGATAGCATTCGACTCTGTAATCAGATTTGCAGGAGCGCTCGCGTTAGTCGGGTACACAGGCATGGACGGGCGCACTTATAAACACATGCGTATGCGCACTTACAAATTACGGGTTCACCATAGCCCGTGCTACATGGACACTTCGTCCTGAGTAGCTAAATCTGAAACAGCAGCAGCGCACTTAGTCCATGCTCGGCTTGTTTTACCAGAATTTACCTGAGGGCCACTAACACTAGTGGCCTCGACTAAGACAGGAAGCTTGTCGAAGCCCCCCTCCCTGTTTTGCCTTTATCTTTTCCAGTTGGATTTTAAAATGTAACAGTTTTAACATTTATGGTTTCGGCGGGTAGGCGGTTCCATAGTCATATAACCATGTGGGTGAAAAAGCATCGGTTCTCATTCTTACATTGTGTCTTGTTGAGCTTGAAACCGTTGCTCCTTGTTTGTTACATCTGACCTTGTTAAGAATTTGATGCTGTGAATATTGAGTAGGCGCCGCCGTCAAGATTGGTTAATATACACGCTTCTTAATGTTACTTCTCCGGGCTGAGGAATGACACGCTGCAGTTAATAATTTAATTAAAACTTTGCGCGGTAGAGGGTGGTGGTGGGGGTGAAGCAGAGGATGTGGTGATTGATTGATTGATGGATGAAGATTAAGCCATCCAAGAGGTGGCGCGGGTATGAATAGCCTGTAAGGATGTGGAGGAGGCGTGTGTGCTTATCTGAGTGTCTACACGGGAGTGATGATTCCTAATGCCAGTCGCCTACCCGTTTACACCTAGTCAGTCATTGTGCATACCATACCTATCCCGTAGGCGGGGGTGGAAAGGGTTACAGAGGCACATAATGGGTCTAGGAACTGAACCACTCAATATAGATGTTTTCATCATAACCTTTCTTAGTTGTGGATGTAATTGGCTTCAACATCTTCCTTGGTTTAAATACATTCCACTTGCCGACAAACCCGTATAGGGAACGAGAACTTCCTTACATATCTTCAATTCAACTGCGTGTAGAGATTTGTTATGGTGTCAACATCTCATTACAACAAGAAACTCAAAAAAAAAGAAAATTAAATTGTTACAGTACTGGTGCAAGATCTATGTACACAAGAATTCTATGTTACCACGGCTAGGCTTAGTCTCGGCCACAAGTACCTCTGGGAGTTTGTAACATCTGCTGATGTAGATTTGACTAAATGTCAACTATCAGCAGAACTATTCACATTGCATCATTATATAATAGAATGTGAAAAAATCGCGGAGTTCGGAGAAAACACCATAAATGGAGTCCAAGAAATGTATAAGTACTAAATTCATAATGATGTGCTGCCGGAAATCTTAGCGAAATATACGAAATGTGCTTATTGTAGGTGCAGCCTGCACATGACTAAAGCTGCCGCCCAGTTGGGTGGGTGTGGAGCAGGACTAGTAACCGCGTGACTCGCCATAGATGTAAAGTGCCTTGTACAGTGACTGTTGTGAGCCTCTTGCTGAATTACTTGATGTAAATAGATTACGGATATGTATATGTATTTGTGCAAATGCAGACAACCGGTTTTATGTAACTGTACACTTAGGGAAATGGTAAAGCAAAATTAAATTAAATGTCTACACTAGAGTTTTTGACAGGAAATTCTGCAAAATGTTGCCTCGTGATAAAGTGTGTGTAATGCGACATTGCAGTACTTAACATTGTTGCCACATGCAAACTTCTGAAGGTAACCATTACTGGCACTAAAGTCTTGCTATAATTTAGATTTAACTAATGTCTTCCACCCAAGCGCTGACTGAAAATGGGAGAGTGGAATGCATTTAAAGTACAGTAACGTCATTTACATTGGTGTTGGGGTTAGCCACCAGTCAGTGAAACGACCACTATTACTTTCCTCGTTATCAAACACACAGCCTTGAATAGTGTCTGGAAGCAATTATTGTCTCGCGTGGTTAATAAACTCGCATTGTTTACTTTTTACAAGTGCTGACATTTTGTGCCATGGCAGCTGGAGGTTGGTGTTGGTTAAGTCTCACGGTGCACAGAATAACTAGAAACGGTTGTACTGTGAAAAAACGTAAACAAAGTCCTTAAACTGGGGTTTGTTTCGTGCGAAACACGGAGAAGCGAATAAACTGAAAGATTAGAAATAAGGAAAATGGGTTTTAATAAAAACATTATGACCAGGAAAGTATGTGGGCAAGTTACTATACCGCAGAGCGCTGTGGTAGCCTAGCTTATGGCAGTTGTGTGCCAGTGACGTGGATCACGTTAGGGAAGCACTCGTTAGTCCAAGTGCATACAATTCTCAATACATGAACATTAAATTTATTTGACTTCATCTCCAATTGCTTCACAGGCCCCCCTCCCCTCCACTGAGGTAGTTTTTTCACATTATATCCGTGTTTAATATGTGAAAATATCCATTGTAATTGTTTTTTTTATATGTAAAATAAGTGTGTATGGTTCGTTGGTGATTCTGTAAGTTAAGACAAGGATTGTAGTTGTTACTTGAAATTGATTTTATTGTAAACTAATACCTAACATGGGTGAAGGCTGGCAAGTATTTAAAGCTAACTCTCTTTTGGTTCTGGGGCCTCTATAACAGTGTGACATGTACACCTCCCACAATTAACTATAATTGATACAATTGTGCCGATATAATTAGTCTCCAAACATGTTTATTGTATAAATTCTCTTTGTAGTTGCATGGTTGTCTGCCTCCACGTATTCTAGTACATTGTGTATGCTATTTGCGTCTACTTTAAGGGCCGTGACTTGTAAAATAAAGCGTTGAACGACCGGACCAACTTTAATCTAACTTCTCGACATTTGTCAAGATTGGAGCTAGCTTTTTCTGGTAGTACTGTACTGGGTTCTTTGGAAGTGTTACGAGGTACTGGTCCCTCACTGTTCGTGGGGATAAGTCTTTTTTTGTATGATCTTAAGATCAACGGTGAATTGTAGTCCTGTAGTGTAATTTATTTTGTATTAATGCTTGTTAAATATGGTTTGCTGGCACTTCCAAATTTCTGCTATACGTATATATTTCTGCTTTACGTATTTAAAGAGTTAAACATAAACAGACGAGGAGTCACAACAACGTGGCTGAAATATGTTGGCCAAACCCCACACTAGAAAGTGAAGGGACGACGACATATCGGCCCGTCCTGGACCATTCTCAAGTCGATTGTGATTATCGATATCGATTGTGAATATCGATTGTCGATGTTGCAATCGACTTGAGAATGGTCCAGGACGGACCGAAACGTCATCGTCCCTTCACTTTCTAGTATGTGGTTTGGTCAACAGTTAAACATAAGGTTTCTGATGCAATTCTTATTTATATTAACCATCTTTGATAGGCTATAAATATTGTACTGTACGTGATTTTTGTCTGTCATGATTTAATGTGTCGTCTTGTTCTTGAAGCAACTGATGTGCGATGTAGCCGTGTTTGTTACTAATGCGTGGTGTTGACTTTCAGTTCAGCGTACGACCGTGATCGCATGTCACCGTACAGGAGCGACCCCCGGGGACACTCCACGGCCAGCAACGGCTACTCCTCAGGTGAGCGAGTCCCTTCCCTTCCCCCACGTGTAGAGGAACACACCCCTCCTCCCTCCACACCTGTAGAGGTACACACCCCTCCTCTCTCCACACCTGTAGAGGAATTACCCCCTCTTCCCTCCCCACGTCTTCCTGTTCTCCCCCCCCCCCCGCTCTCTAAACACTTTGCACTTGTTTCTTCTACTCTTATTCCGTCAAGTGTGGTTGGCTGTTTGGTAGTGCAGAGCGATAACCTCGGGGGACCTCGATAAAAAAGCCTGTCGTGTATGAATACTCTCTTTTATGGCTTTCTGTCCACCGACGCAGTCAATTATATGCCCTCCTCCTCCTCCCCATGTGTAGTTGTATACCCCTTCCTCCCTTCACCACGTGTAGATGTATACCCCTTCCTCCCTTCACCACGTGTAGATGTATACCCCTTCCTCCCTTCACCACGTGTAGATGTATACCCCTTCCTCCCTTCACCACGTGTAGATGTATACCCCTTCCTCCCTTCACCACGTGTAGATGTATACCCCTTCCTCCCTTCACCACGTGTAGATGTATACCCCTTCCTCCCTTCACCACGTGTAGTTGTATACCCCTTCCTCCCTTCACCACGTGTAGATGTATACCCCTTCCTCCCTTCACCACGTGTAGATGTATACCCCTTCCTCCCTTCACCACGTGTAGATGTATACCCCTTCCTCCCTTCACCACGTGTAGATGTATACCCCTTCCTCCCTTCACCACGTGTAGATGTATACCCCTTCCTCCCTTCACCACGTGTAGATGTATACCCCTTCCTCCCTTCACCACGTGTAGATGTATACCCCCCTCCTCCCTTCACCACGTGTAGATGTATACCCCCCTCCTCCCTTCACCACGTGTAGATGTATACCCCTTCCTCCCTTCACCACGTGTAGTTGTATACCCCTTCCTCCCTTCACCACGTGTAGATGTATACCCCTTCCTCCCTTCACCACGTGTAGATGTATACCCCTTCCTCCCTTCACCACGTGTAGTTGTATACCCCTTCCTCCCTTCACCACGTGTAGATGTATACCCCTTCCTCCCTTCACCACGTGTAGATGTATACCCCTTCCTCCCTTCACCACGTGTAGATGTATACCCCCCTCCTCCCTTCCCCACGTGTAGATGTATACCCCCCTCCCTCCCCTACGTGTAGATGTATACCTCCCTCCTCCCTTCCCCACGTGTAGATGTATACCTCCCTCCCTCCCTTCCCCACGTGTAGATGTATACCCCCCTCCCTCCCCTACGTGTAGATGTATACCTCCCTCCTCCCTTCCCCACGTGTAGATGTATACCTCCCTCCTCCCTTCCCCACGTGTAGATGTATACCTCCCTCCTCCCTTCCCCACGTGTAGATGTATACCTCCCTCCTCCCTTCCCCACGTGTAGATGTATACCTCCCTCCTCCCTTCCCCACGTGTAGATGTATACCTCCCTCCTCCCTTCACCACGTGTAGATGTATACCTCCCTCCTCCCTTCCCCACGTGTAGATGTATACCTCCCTCCTCCCTTCCCCACGTGTAGATGTATACCTCCCTCCTCCCTTCCCCACGTGTAGATGTATACCTCCCTCCTCCCTTCCCCACGTGTAGATGTATACCTCCCTCCTCCCTTCCCCACGTGTAGATGTATACCTCCCTCCTCCCTTCCCCACGTGTAGATGTATACCTCCCTCCTCCCTTCACCATGTGTAGATGTATACCTCCCTCCTCCCTTCCCCACGTGTAGATGTATACCCCCCTCCTCCCTTCCCCACGTGTAGATGTATACCCCCCTCCTCCCTTCACCACGAGTAGATGTATACCCCCTCCTCCCTTCCCACATGTTAACCCTCGGTGTTCTGTCTACCCAATGATCTTTCATATGACGCTTTGAAACTACTGGTAGTCTTGGCATTCACTTCTTCCAACCTTCAACTCGGGTCATGAAAGAGAAAATTTTGTACGTTTTTTCGGCACCTTTGTTTCCTTAGCTTGAATCGATGACCTCTTGTTCTTTAAGTTGCAGGTTTCAAAAGTTCTGCCTTAACTATTTTGTCAGTTCCTGTTAATGTTTAGTATGTAGTGATCATATTGCCTATTTTCATCATCTTCCAGCTTTGGAATATTTAACACCTCATAGCTTTTGCTTTTCAGTTCCATAAGCCATTTAGTAGCATGTCTTTGCACCCTTTCCAGTTTATTGATGTTCTTTAAAGGTATGGAATATACAGCTGCTGTGCATTCAGATCTCGGTCTCACAAATGTCATGAACAGTTTCTTCAGTGTTTCCCCATTCATGTATTTAAAAGCGATTCTGGAGTTTAAAAGTGTAGCATCAGCTCTTTTCACGATTAATGCCCCTTTATATATTTTTTCTTATTGTGAGACAATTGAAGTTCAATTTATTGTCTGTGTAGGACAAGGAATTTTTGTTCTAGATTCGTTTACTCCTGGAATAATTTTGCTGGTAAATTTATTTTAAAATGTGTAGTAAATAAAATGTGGAGGCGATCAAAATAAAATATTTAAAATCAAAATAGACAATATTGAAATAAAAAGAATAATGAAATATGGCAATCTTGTTTGTTGGAATTGTTTTCGAAGCTAATAAGCATAAAACGTACTTGTTCTTTAGATTAAATTTTTTAAACAAGGTTTTTTTCTTCCTAGTTTAGTAATTACCTAATAATTAGAAGACTAGAAAAGCCTAGAGAAGGATCATGGGATGACCATCAGTGGCAACCTTCAGTGCCTACACAAGGCCATGTCCACCTGCGAGCAATAAATCATTTCATAGCTAAATCTTTTGATTATACTATACAGTACTGGCAGACTGCATTTTTATTTATATGCAAGAAGGTACAATGGGTTGTGAAGGTACAGGTTTTGATAAATTATGCATTCATGCCAAGCACATGGTTACAAAATATAATTCTTTGAAGAAAAAAAATTATGAAGTTTTATTTAAAGCATAGAGCTGTAGCTGTGTTTTTAGTTTAGTTTTATTTAAGCTTTATGGTTTTTTTTAGCATAGAGGGAGGAGCGGTGGAGAGCTAATTGAAACGTTAGAGAGCATAAATTGTAATACACTCAAATATGAGTAATGTATCAAGGCAAAGGCAACTTCAACAAAGTAGTACTGTAATGGCATGAAATGCAAGAAATGTAGATGCAATAAAAATGTGGAACAGATTCTTTTTCTATGCATGCGGTGAGTCACAGTAACATGGCTGAAAATATGAAGCTTAAACCACACGCCAGAAGATGAGGAAACAACAACATTTTGGTCCGTCTTGGACCATTATCAAGTCGATTGTGTTACAACGACCAAAACGTTGTCTCGTCATCATCTTCTGGTGTTTGGTTTAGTCTTCCTTTTTTTACAGTTGTAGAATATACAGCTAGAATAAATTTCCTTTTGCCATAGATGGAAAGTTGCAAATCTGTTAGAAATACTAAGACAAGTTCAGTTGTATGTGTTTAATGTGCAAAATTACATTTAAATTTTATAACTTGTGACACATGGCTTTGTTTGGTGGAATAAACAGTAATACAATAGTGATAAGGTGTTATACAATACAATACAATACAATTTTATTTAGGTAAGGTACATACATACAATAAATATTTACAAGGATTGTTTGACTTATAGGTAGAGCTAGTACATACAATGCCTAAAGCCACTATTACGCAAAGCGTTTCGGGCATGATAAACTTAAATGATAAACTTAATACTAATTGAGCATAATGAGTAGAATGAAAACAAGAAATGAAAACATAGATGAAAAAGCAGCACAAATACAATTATGTCGACAAACAGCGCTCTTTAAAGAAAAAAACAGACATTGGTTGACAATAGAAGGGTAAGGTAGGTTACAGGGAATTTATTAGGTATAGCTTCGCTTTTAACTTAAACTGGTTGAGAGAGGTACAGTCTTTAACATGGTTGGGAAGGTCATTCCACATTCTGGGCCCCTTGATTTGTAGAGCATTTCTAGTTTGATAAAGTCGTACTCTAGGAATATCAAAACTGTATTTATTTCTGGTATGATGCTCATGGGTTCTGATACAACCTTCTATGAAGCTTTTGAGATCAGGATTGGCATTATAGTTTAGCGTTTTATATATGTATAATACACATGAGAGAATGTGCAGTGACTTAATGTCTAACATATTCAGAGATTTAAGTAGGGGTACCGAGTGTTGCCATGTCCATTCTCTTGGGCAAAAGGGAATGTAGTTCTAGCTCTTGTATTATTTATTACTTTTGAGAAAATCAGCAGGAGCCACAGGGAGGATTTGAATCTGCACACTTAGTACTCCCAAGCATGTGCCCTCAGATAAGTTCATTATTTCCGAATTACCATTCTTACCATGGCATTGTGCCATCAATAAATTTTTTATTCAAATGACAGTATAAAGAGGAGGGAGATCATCATTTGGAGAGCCTTCTTTACAATCCTTACTGCCTTTGTCCAGGCAAAACTTAGTGTAGCGTGTCATTTCTTTGCAGCCAACAGTTGACAAATAGGTCTTCTGTAATGTTCTAATGTACTCTACCCTCTTTCCCTCTCACCCTTCACTCCATTTAATTGTCAGATTTGTTTTTTGTAGACTACAGTATTTTGAATTTTAAGTGTAGGGGAAAACATTTCTTTAATAATAATAATAATAATAATAATAATAATAATAATAATAATAATAATAATAATAATAATAATAATTTATTTAGGAACAGTACAGACATAGTTGCAGTGTTACAGTACAAACATTGTTAGATTTAAAGATAGAGGTAGTACATACAATACCTAAAGCCACTAGTACGCATAGCGTTTCGGGCAAGATTGCAAATATTTATCCCACAAGTAGTAACATTCCTTGACTGCCATTTTCCTTAGTATTTTATAATGAAAATTAGGCTAATTATGCAAATGTAGCTTTCAAGTTTGTATGTCACACGTATGTTGCATTATTTCATACTACTGTGGAGGATCATAAGCTGAAAATTACAAGTTTACTTAATTTATACCAAATTACAATATTGCAGACAATGGGTCGGTCGTCAGCACAGAAGATGGACCAACCTACGTACTGGAGCACCTTGCTACCTTTAGAGTGTCTCCAGAGTCAGACCTGGTGTTCCCAGCTGACGGCATGCGCCGCCTCTTACATATGGAGAAAACCTCGGGCATATGGACACAAAAGATGTTACTCAGGCTCGACAAGAAATGGGTCTGCATACAATCACATGAAAATGGGGTAAGTAAATAGGTAACTGTAATAGGAATGTTTTATGGTTTTGTTACATTTTGTTTTAGTTATTCTGATAGCTTTCCATTCATTATCTCAAATACAGTACCTCTTTGTATTGATTTGAGACGTTGACAATTAAATTTAAAAAAAAGTATTGAAAGTGAGCCCAAGAGCAACTCTTCATATTTAAATCCAATTTAATATATAGGAAGGCATACTCTGTACTGAGGAGGCTGGCAAATAAGAACATCGTTTTGAATCCTGAGTCAGGACTCCTTCAAAGCAATCTACACATTTGTTAGACCAATACTGGAATATGCATCACTGGCATGGGATCCTTGCCTTTTGAAGCACAAAGAAATAGAAAGTCCATTTAAAAAAACAAAACAAAAAAAAAAAGCAAGAAAAAAAAGCAAATAGGGTTAAGGTATGAAATAGGCTAATGGAACTTTATTTATTTATATATGTATACAATGATGGTGGACCGAGCACTTTTCAGGTGTGGAGTGAAGTGCTGAAGCTTCAGGATGAGGAAGAGTAGCTCCTTGCCAATTGTTCCGTAGATCCTTGTAGCAGTAGTCGCTGACAGGTGTATTCTTCTCGCCTCGTTGCTGCATCACGACACCACCCACGTCGGTACCATTGGCGTCGACATGGAGGATGAAGGGCTTATCTGACGAGGTGAGAGTGGAATTAGAAGAGGGCATAGGAGCACGATTATTATCCTGAAAGCATTTGGGAAGATCATGAAGGATTTTGGAATTAGAAAGCGCCGACTCCTTGTCAGTGCTTTCGGGAGAAGAAGCCGGGATGGTCTCACTGTGGATGTAGGGTTCTGTGAAGGTAGAACAATTAATCAAGACAGTGGGAGGAGTACCATTATATTGCTTCAGGAGGTTGACGTGGCACAGCTGGGTCTTCCGCCGCCTATCTGGAGTCTCTATCACATAATTATTATTATTCCTGCACTCTTTGACGCAGTAGGGTCCTGAAAATTTGTTTTGTAAAGGTGAACCTGGGATAGGGAAATAAGCAAGGACGAAGTCTCCCGGCTTGAATTTTCTTACTTTGCTGGTCTGGTCGTAATGAGTCTTCATTCTCACCTGGGCTTTCAATAGATTATCATGAGCAAAGCGGTGGACTCTCTCTAGAATGTGTTGAAGGTTTTGAAGAAACTGGGGCACATTCTGATGCTCACTGAAGGTGGCATCTCTGAGAGAGTCTTTGAAAGCCTTAAGGGGAGTACGGCACTTACGGCCGTAGAGCATCTCATAAGGAGATACTCCTAGGGACTCATTGGGGAGACTTCTGAAAATACACATTATTAGGTCAATCTGCTTATCCCAATCCTTTGAGGTTTCACTACAAAACTTTTTCAAGAGTGCTTTGATGGTCTGATGACTACGTTCAAGAGAACCCTGTGAAGCAGGATGATAGGGGCTGGACAATACCTGTTTGATGTTGAACTCCTCCAGTGTCCTTTTGAAGAGATCACTGGTGAAGTTGGTGCCACAGTCACTTTGAATCTCCCTGGGAAATCCGTATTGAGTGAAGATCTTCAGTAGATGTTTGATAACCGTAGCAGCCGTGATGTTCTTCACTGGAACTGCTATGGGAAATCTGGTGGTAGGACACAGGATGGTTAGGATGTAGGCGTTACCTGAACTGGTCCGAGGTAAAGGACCGACACAGTCTATTATGAGTCTGTGGAAAGGTTCCGCAGGCACCTGTATGGGAATCAGTGGTGCTCTGGGAATGGAGACGTTCGGTTTGCCTGCCATCTGACATGTATGACACTGTTTTACGTACTGTTTGACGTTGTTTACCATACCTGGCCAGTAGTAGTCTTGACGAATCCCATGGTAAGTCTTGTTGAAGCCGTAGTGGGAGAATGCTCCGTGGGCCAGGTGTAGAATAGTGGGCCGCAGGCTGGTGGGAATCACAAGTTGTTCGATGTTGGCCCAATCGTCCTCCTCCTTCAGTTTACTGGGTCTATATCTGCGGTAGAGCAAGTCGTTCTCTAGGAAGAACCCAGGAATACTGTCGGGTTGAGTCTCAGCCTGGAAAAACAATGGTGTTAAAGTAAGATCTTCCCTCTGCAACTTACGGAACTCCAACTTGGTCAGATGCGGGGGTAGTTTCTGAGGGTCTTGAGGGACAGCGGTAGCAGTAGAGTCAGCTGGCTGTGGACGTGCGGCTTGTGCACGGGTGGTCACGAGAACCGGAGGAGAAACATCATCACTCTCTTGAACCTCTGCTGGAACATACTCAAGAATAGGGTTACTTGGCACAGAGTTACACACCTGGGGTTTGTCCATGACGATCAGGTTGGTCGGTTGCAGGTCTTCTGCCAAGTCGTTGCCTAGGAGAAGTTGCACTCCAGGCATGGGAAAAGGCTTTTCCCTGACGGCGACTTGGACTTCCCCGTTCACGTAGGGACAATCCAGGTGGACTCTGGCGAGAGGGTATGGAGTGGTAGCAGTGAGGTCAGTGATGAAGACTGTTTCCCGGTGTAGACTATGTTGGGCACAGCCGACTTCAAGATGATCGATTGTAGAGCCGCTGTGTCCCTCAAGATCTTCAATTTGAAACGTCCCTCCGGATTTGAACCGTTGGCAGAGACAGTTCCAGTATACAGGTGGTTACTGAAAAGAGAAAGATCATTAACATCAACACCAACATTCATCACAGGCTTACCGGACTTAGGAGGAGTTGGTTTGGGTCGTTGTTGGTCAGTGGTTCCCTTGTATTGAGACTTACCACACTTGTCTATGGTATGTCCATAGAGTCTACAATACTTGCAGTACAGTTGTGAACCAGCTTGATCGGGGCTCACCTTCTCGTAACTGTACCACGACTTCTTACTGGAGGATGGTTCAGGTGTCAGCCGGTGGATGAGGCTGTAAGTGTCAGCCGACTTAGCACACTTCAGGTAGTCGGTTTCTTCTTTATCTGCTAAGTAGAGGCGGACAGGAGGCGGCACACGTCTCAAGAATTCTTCAACAAGCATCAGGTTGACGAGTTCTGTAAAAGTAGAGACATGTGCTGCTTCCAGCCATTTCATGAAATACCTCCGTTTCGTGTTAGCAAACTCGAGGAAGGTAGTGGTACTTGCCTTCAGGTGGTCACGGAATTTCCTTCTATAACTTTCAGTAGAGAGGAGGTAGGCGTCCAACACTGCTTGTTTCAGAGTGTAGTAGTCATTCTCAGACGCCAAAGTACTGAGTGTGACTGCAGCTCTACCTGTAAGATGGACTCTGAGAAGTGTGGCCCATTGGTCGACAGGCCAACTGAGTTGATTAGCAAGGGTTTCAAAGGTGGTAAAGAACACATCAACTTCTGCTTCTACAAAGGATGGCATTAACTTACTTGCATGTGATATATTAAAACTGACGGGAAGATTGGCAGTAGCTTGCTGGCGTTGAGTGAAGTGTGAAGTTTCCAGGGCGATTTCGCGTTGACGACACTCTAGAGCCAGAGTTGCTTGTTGCTTGTCATGTTCGCGTTGTATTTCCAACTCGCGTTGTTTGGTTTCAAGCTGTAAGCGTTCCCGCTCCTGGAGTGTTTCAAGCTGTACTCTTTCACGTTCACGGAGTAATGCGACCTCGCGTTCGTGTTCTTCTCTCCTCAAAGCAGCTTCGCGTTCTCGTTCGTCTCTCCTCATAGCAGCTTCGCGTTCTTGTTCTTCCCTCCGTATGGCAGCTGTTCGTTCTTCAATCTTGGCCAGCTCTAGTTTGAGTTTCAGCGTTGCCAAGTCAGGTTTATCTGCAATATAGTAAGTTTCATGAGTTTCAGAGTCTATCTTACCTTGCTCTAAATAGTAATCCAGCAACAGGTTGTGTAGGTCATTTTTGTTGGCTTGGTAGGGAACTTCTAGTTGATACTCATGTGCAAGAGTGTGTAGTTCAGTCCTCTTGGCACGACTTAAAGTCCCTATTTCACCTGCTGGATTTGCACGGAAAGTTGGAGACGAAACATGGTGAAATTAGCAAATAAAGGTACACGAATGTTCAATAATGAAATGTCAGAAACAGGACAACGTGGCAACTGGCACCTATCCTGTGTGATCTTTAACAATTAACGTTAAGTGAAAGATATTAAATGATTAAATTAAATCAAGGGCGCAGGAAATCTTGTACCCGGTACTCATGTAAGAGAATAAGGGCAAGAAAATCCTACTAACAAATGAAACAGAGTTTCGAAAACAAATGAAACGGTTAAATGCTTCAAAAGTAAAATTGGTAGTCCAAGGATGTAGGCATACCTTGCCAAGTCTCTATAGGACATAAAGCAAGTTTTTCCCACTGAATTTAATATGATACTTACAGAATTAGCGAACTTTTGTGCTCTGAAAAAATAAGCTAATTCCCTACCGTTGTATGTATCATCATCTCTGACTGACGTGTAGGGGTGCGAGGTGTCAACTGGTGACGAGAACTGCTGCTGAGGTCCCAATTCAGCAACTAAAGTTCGAGCTAGAGGAACTATGGCCCTCTTTGTCCTCCTACAGTCAGATTGCAGAAGATTGGGTACTCTTGACCCGGGGCAGACCACAGTACCAGGGTACCAATATGATGATCTGTCAGAATGAGAAATATTCAAGGGACATAGATGGTAAATACGAGTAATAACACGGAGGGAGAGATGACCAATTAAGAGTATGACTGCGGCCTACAGTCACCACGTAATCCAAAGTTGTCTCACCTTCACTATATGTTACTCTCGTAATGCACAATACACCGCACCTTATAAAAAATGAAATTGAATGAAAAATAGTAAAGCTACGTTAACAGAGTTAAATACGCTTACCATAAATTACCACTTGGCACCAGTACCTGAGTGAGGCTCCTAGGACAGGCCCCCATATAACTTGTGACGGTAACGCGTTGGTGTTCGGCTGTTTAAGGCTAGGGGTATGGCCTCGTCACATAGTTATAAAAAAAATAGAAAAACTGGAACTTCGTCTGTGGTAAGGTAAGGAGAAGACACACAAAACACAAGTAAAACTTTAACAATGAAATTTTAATTACGAAAAATAAATCAAAACATGAAAATAATGCACAAACAAATTCTTATAATAAAATCAATGAATCAAAATAATAAGAATACTTAAATAACACAATGAAAAGTTACGTTAAGGCAAAATAACAAGAAGTGCAACACAAAAGTTAAGTGGGAGGTGCTGGAATATTGGCTTAAAGCCACCACCTCTCTCAGTACACGCTAACGTCTAGCTGGGAGGAGTGCTGGCTACGAAAGCACGGAACATTCTGAGGACTGATGTTGGGGCGACCCCAGACATCAGGTAGTATTGGGGGCGAGTGCAGGTGCAGCCAGACCGGCGACCAATCAGCGGAGCCGTAGCGATCAACGGGTAGTTTGGTGGTTGGAGTTCGAACAGGTGGCTGGATGCATACGTTTCTGCTCACCCTGGCAAGCCTTGCTGGTGCTGGTGTTGTTGTTGGACATTTGAGTTCTTATAAAGTTACTAGCATACATAGTATTTTGGGCAAGTCCTTGATCCTAATTTTTCCCCAGAATACGACTTGCCAAAATTGTTTAACAACCAGGTACCCAGTCATTGCTAGGTGAACTGAGGCTACAGTTAAAGATTGACGCCCAGTAAATCCTCCCCGGCTAGGATATAAACCCAGGCCAAAGCGCTCGTGAAGAGCCGAGGGAGTGTTTTACCACTGTGCCACGGGGACTGCTAAATCTCGAAACTAAATTTCAAGACCCTATAGGATAGAAGGAATAGGAGGATAAAATCACTACTTAAAAGATACTGAGGGAATAGATAAGCTGGACAAAGATAGCCTCTTCAGATTGAGAGAAAGCAGAAAAAGAGGACACAGATGGAAACTAGAAATGCAAGTGAGCCAAAGGGACTTAAGGAAGTACTTGTACCCTGTACCCGTAGTTAGCAAGTGGAATGCTCTAAAGGTAATATTTGTGGAAGACTCCTCCATCTATAACTTTAAGGCCTTAAAGTTGTGGATGGTAATGAGGTACCTAAAACCAAGAGAGTTGGCTGAAAAAGCCAACCAAACTGTAAACCTTAATTAAAGTAACAAGGTTTATGGCAAACTAAAAAAATTTGTATTAGGTTAAATGGTAAGATTTATGACATGACAGAAGAGATGGTATGCTAAATGACACAGAAATAGACCCTGTACATGAAATAGCAATGAAAATATTAATAAAACTAGTGTCCTGAGATTTGTTGCACATAAAGCATTCGGACACCCTGACACCCTGACGGGGGCCCTCGTAGCCTGGTGGATAGCGGGCAGGACTCGTAATTCTGTAATAGTAGTAGTACTGTAGTAGGCATCCATCAGTCTCGGGAGACTATGGAGGTGCGCTCTGGTTGTCGGTCTGGAGTGGCCTCTCCAGGGCACAAAGCCAGGGTAGGTCGATACAGGGAAGAAGCTGTCGCCCATGCAACAGGTCCCCTCCTCTCCATGGTGCCGAAAGTCTCCAATGGAATGGCAAACGCCAATACGATTGGTTCCAGTGCTGTTGCAGAAACTGTCAGAATGAGGTTGAAGGCAACAACGAACTGCCCCTAGGGGCTCCAGCTCCATAGTTTACCTTGAGGTTGGCAAAAGAAGGCACAGGGACTCCAAACCTGAAGACTGTCGTGGTCGAGGCTGGAGAAAAACCACCCCAGCAAGGTCAAGAACGACCACAACCTCCTGTAACAGAGCTTGGGCCACATGAGCCCCAGGAGGTGGATGTATGGGCCTCACATCTATTGGATCCAGACAGAGATCATCACAGCCCCCTTTCACCTGAGGCCAGCTTCCTTCATGACCCAGCAGAAGGAAGAGTCAGGGAAGGTGGACTGCCTCAGGACTACCAGCAGAACAAACCAGACATGATACAGCTGAGCTCATCGAGGCCTTTACAATACTGATTAAATTGGAAGGTATTAAAAACAAATGGAAAGAGTGGAAGATAACCACTTCTTTAAAAGGATCAATGTAACTTGCTCAAGAGTTTAGCTTCAAGCTCAACAAGCTACAATGTAACAGTCTTTCATTCATAGTATAATAAACTCGTAATTGCTAACTAACCTAAATCATATATGCCAAGATAGTACTTACGTTCAAAATGCAGCTGGGTAAAAAAACTCGGGAATAAGGAGGACCCTCTGACGAGCTGTCAACTTTGTTTCCATTAAGGTCATAGTAGATGGTGGCTCTCAGGTAAAGTCATAGCACATGTTTTAGTAGCAGAGAATTTTAAGTTTTTGGCAACACAGGATGTTACACTATGGTTTGCAACATTAAGCTTCCATTGTAAGAAATTAAAATCGCTGCTACAGCACAGAGTGAAGTTGTTTACATATGGTTAGGGTTTATCCTATGCTCTAAGAGAGGATCCAATACCAATAGCAGGTAAAATAGTGATGCTTAATGCACTTCTTGTGGGATACCCTTAAAATGCCAACAAAAGAAATTAATCCCAATTTACATCTTAAAGAAATTGTAGGAAAGGAAGTTCGTAAGGAAAAGCGGCAGGTGGACCCCTCAAACCAAAACCATAAAATAGACCTGAAATGTGTTTAATTGTACTGTGCTAAATCTTGAGCTTTCTCGAGGTTGAAGAGGCCGATGACCACCAAACTACCAACAGAGAAAGCGTTCTGAATATTAATTTAGAACTTTTCATGACCCCAAACATTTAGTTATTAGTATGATGAGCCAAAAAAAAAAAAAAATTACTCTTAATATGTTAGTTAAATACTTCAGTGGAGTGAGAATTATTTAATTTTACACTTTTAAATAAATTTCATACACTAAACACAATTTTATTTTTTATACAGGATACAGTTGAAAAGTTTCCAATGGAATTGATAAGGGAACCAACAGCATTTACAAGTGATGACCCCAAAGAGTTGTATAACAACATCTTCATATTCGTTGTAGCAGAAGACCCTAAGAGGAATTACCAGAACCCAACAGAAATGCACATTTTCCAGGTAACTATCAATTGAATATTTTCCACACATGTTCCTGCATTATATAACATTTAATACATAAGCATAGTGCCAATGCAAGGTCACTAGGTACAGTACTTTAATTCAAAGTTCTGGACAGAATAATGGTTTATTGTCATGGTGCATTATATACCGAGTATGAAATCAGAATTTTCTACTCCTGCATAAGTGAGCTTCTCTTGCCAAGAAATACACAATATCTGACATCAATCTATACTTTGTTTAGGCTACTATAATCTTTGTACCATGCATGCTTGATGTCATGTAAGCCCAGGGAACGTCATTCTGTGTAGTCCTATATAAACATTGTCTAGGGAGAGGAGGGATGCGGGTTCGATTGATCCCATTGTCAAGCCTCGATGCTTTATCGGTTATGTCCATCTTGTGATTTTATTGTGCATTGTCTAGCTTGTTCTACAAACCATATTCCCTCACAAGACTTACTCCACATGTTATTGTCCATTTCACTTTTCCATAAAGTAATGAGTCTATCCATAACTCTGTTCACAATCAGTACAGTGTACTTTTACAATACTACCCTAAGTCATCCTCTAAAAGTGTCCGAACTGTAGTAGACTGCAGTGTTTTTCCTAGCTGCATCTTTTGGACTCGCACAGTTTCTTATTGTTTTTCTGATAAGAACATGAAAGTTTTTATATTAACATTTTTTTTAGATGGCAGAAAAAGTATTTTAGTAAATTATATTTTAGATAAAATGGCCAAATAACTTTTAGTGTAAGGGACCACATGTGTTCCCAGGGTATTATAATGTATGGCCAAATCATTTAGTACTGCATTCATTACAAAACACTACAATAGTCCTGCACTATGTTGCATGAACCATTTATAGCCAGCCTCATCAAATGCCTTTTCCTTGGTTTCTTCAGCATTTTCCTTTCAAACTACTGCCACCATTTCTCTCCCTTAGCACTCCCCAGGCTTGCTCATTTTTTATTTAGTCTATTTAGTCTTTAACATAAGAACACAGAAATAAAGGTAACTTCAGAAGATCTATTGGCCCATGTAAGGTAACTTCTATTTTTGTCCATGATATATGAATTTTATCATTCATATGTCTTAACCTTCACTTGAAACAATGCAGCTATCCTAGGTCTCTGTTGCCTGTTAAGTTATACAGTACATATATCTACAACCCTATTTCCAAACGAGTATTTACCAGTCTTTCCCAAATCTAGCTTTTCTAAGATATCTTTCTTGTATTTCTAGATTTCTTACCCAAATCTAAATTTCCAAGATTGTACCGTGTTTCATGTTCTATTATGTGTTGCTCGATTTAAAACCTTGTTTATATCCTTTGTTATTCCCTTATATTCATTTATATACATCAATAATATCAACCCTTAATTTGTCTGTATAGAGAATGTAAATTAATCTTTACTTTTTAAACATCTTCATAATGGTTTCTAATTCCCGGCATTAATTTTGTTGTCCTTCTACGTGTGTACTCTAGTGAATTTGTCCATTAAGAATATGGTGACCAAACTGAACTTCATAATCTAAATGGTGTTTAAATCCTTTTATAAATTAAATAGTTTTCCAAATTGTATTTAATACTAACGCTGGGGAAAAAGAATGAAAGCGTGTTAACAAATATGAAATATGGTTATTTTATTGGCAGTCTGGCAGGTCTGCCAAGACAGTTTGCTGAAACAGGCATCATATTCCATTTTACCTTGAATTTGCCTATTTAGCCAGTGCTTTTGGACCTCCAATGGTTTCAATCCTCCCAGAGGTTTCAAATCTGGAATGGAAAATTCATAAGATTTTAATTGGTCAACCCTTGCCAAAATAATTCAGTTTGTAAATGCCTCAAAGCTGTCAAGTGGCATAACCAAGGAGGTCCTCCTGTTGAAATTGAATGTAGTTGATTACTTGTGTATTAGTATACCTCTGTATAATATGTACAGTATGCTGTTTAGTATACTGATTATACTAAACAGTATGTTAGTCTTGAATATAGGATATGCATATTCAGTATTTGGGGACAGAGCGTTTACATGGCTAATTGAGGCTTCCTTAGCCAAGAGCGAGGTTCTGGCTATTAAACCCCACTGACCAAGCATCATGCAGGTTTTGCTTACCACAATGTATAATATGCTGATTATAGTAGTACAGTATACTGTACTCATCACTTGAGTAACTCTTGATTTACAAGAATCCAGATACTTCAAATTCACACCTACAGTACATGATTTTGCTGGTTTGTACCAAATTTTATACAATCATACTGGGATTAACATGTACAGTAACAGAGTACCTGAAATGCTTGAGCAGACATTCATATCACGACAAAAATTAACCTAAAGGGAAATTGAAGAAACAATGGTTTACCTGAATTTACCCGAGAGCCACTATCTTTAATGGCCTCAATTATGACAGAAAGCTGGCAGCTTGTCAAAGGTCCCCACCAATTTGTCCATATGATTTTATCGAGCTGGATTTTAAAATTCAGCAGCGTTTTGACATTTATGAGAAACTTAAAAATATCAAATGTGTAATAAATTTCACTCATTTCCTCGGATAAAATAAGTTAATTTTGTGTCTTGCTGTTATTGTAATTTACAATAACAGAAAAATGTATTGTAAATGCAATATCTGTACTGCTGCTAAAACTCTAGATTCCATAATAAAGTTTTCAGTGCTTTTTATTTAGTATTACTTAAAATTTGTGTATAATTTGGGAAATATTTTGAAAAATGTGTGACCTTCTCGTTCAGTATTGTTTACCCCCTTTAAACCTGTAAATAATTTAACTGAATGATATAAAGTTATGCATGAAATGCTTTGCATACTATTTGCTTTATTAAATATGCATTTTTCTGTAATTAACCACTACTGTATTGTGTTCTTTATATTTTTTAAATAAATTATAAAAATGGAATTAAAAATGTACAAAAAAAGTACAGTAAATAGGTTGAATAGTTGTTGCATAAAAGGCATATGTAATAAAGACACTAGTATGCAAAGTATTTTGGGAATGGCTAAAAGACTTATTTGAGGGTGGGAAAAAGAAAGATGGCACAGAAAGTTCTACACGAGATAGAAAAAATCCAAAAGACATTTTCCCTCTTAAACATGCACTTGCACTCATCACTTGTATTGTTCATTTTTTCATAATTTATTCTTTTACAAATAGTTTTTGTTCTTGAGTTGGCAAAACTAGCCTTATTTTTTCCATTAACTCTTAGTCTCTAACAATCGGTTTCACCATTCATGGGTGACTCGCAAAAGTATTCCATGTAAATAGCAAGGGTCTGCTTTGTTCAGTGTTGGATGATGATTTGTGTATGCCTACAGACTTCATATCTCCATATCCTATAGGACATACTGTATTTATTGAAATATTTGCTCTGAAACTGTGTTCTCAATTTGAACACTTGTTAGACAAGGCATAAAAATCATGTGTAAGCAGTATAGTTTATGTAAATTAGTGATTTACAGCACTGTATTACTGTACCTGAATGTTTGCCCATTTAACCCCCACTGAAAATGTTTTGTTTTTAATTGTGTAAAGGGGTTGAGAAAGAAAACAGCTACTTTTGCCCAGTCCGAGTGCACTATTTAAATGGTTGCCTTTGTGGCTGTCCTTTTCAACGTTTTGCTGCTCACTTGCCACATTGTTGCCAAGGCAATTTATTTTTTTAGTCTTCTTGGTGTAAGCAAGTAATCAGTGTAAAAATCAAAATATTTTGGGAGCTTCTGTAATTGTTTTAGTATATCTTGGTATTTAGAGGTACTTTCAACTGTAGTTGAAAGATATTACAAGTATTTCGAATACCCGAGTGTATTTGAAACAAATTCCAAATACAATACCTAATTTTTTTTTCCTTGCAGTGCCTTCGAGTTAGTGCCAAAGATGTAGTGGAGGATGTGAAGCTATACATGTCTGGGAAAGGCATATCTGGGCGAGGTAGGGCAGTTAGAGCAGGACGGGGAGAGCACATCCCTCCTCCCCCTCAAGAACCTGCCCCAGAGCCTCCACTGGCAAATGGGTATCGTGCAGACTTTTGTAAGTACATTGTGAAACATTTTCAGTTTTAAAATTGGTAAGCGTGATTGAACTTCCAGGTTAAAATATCTTGAATTTGCAAGTACAGTATAATATTTAGATGGTACCTTAACTTTCGAAGATTTCGAGGATCGACGTTCCTGCTGCCCAGTCTCTGACCAGGCTACCAGACCTAGTACTGTTTGGATATTCAAACCTGTCCTCCAAAAAAAGATAATACATATAGGTACCAGGTACAGTATTGGGGACAAAACTACAAAATAGAAACTTGTTGCACCCACAGAGTCCACCTTTTGTAAAGTAATTTTGCAGAGGCCCCTAGAAAGTGAACAGCAACTGAATATAACTTTTCCTAAGGCTTGTATAGTACATGTCTGTAGTAAATAAGATCAAAGATTGCACATGTTAAGTGCAGGATTGTATATTTAAGCCTGGGACATGTTAGGTTACCATTTCACCTTTTGTGAATTCCTTTAAAAGTTCTAATACGTAGTATAAACCATGAAAATGTTTTAAAGCCCATGCATCAAGCAATTGACAAATGTATGGATTTTATACTCGAGACTTTTAGTATGTATATGGTCACATTTTTTCCCGAACTTAAAGATAAGTATTTCAATATAAGATGAATATTAGCCTAATTTATACATCGGGTAAGTGGGGTTCGTTCTCGACTCGCAATTGGGAATTCCATGTTCGAATATTGGATGGTACAGAAATGGTTGTGCATGTTTATTACCTAATGCACCTGTTTACCTGGCACTATATAAGAGTAAGCTTGTTGTGGGGTTGCATCCAGGGTAGGGTCCATAATTTGATCTTCAGGGGTGGGGAGTTGGAACCGCACTACTGTATATGCCTAACGTGTATATGTACACTAGCTTCCTGTCCCTCGACAATGCATTATTACCAAATTATTATATTGGCTCCCAGATCCAGTTTTGAAGATTGTAGCAGAGGGTCTTAAGACTGAGGCACTTGTTTTTTATGATAAAAGGGGGACAGTTGTTTTACTCTTTTTACTTGTATTCAAAGTGCTTATGATGAGTATTACTAGATAATAGGGTAAACATTATTGTATGATGCTTAAATTACAAAAACATTGGACACTGTAATTGGTCTGACATCTTAATGAGAATAGCCAAGAAAAGAACCCAAGAGGAATCGAAAATACTTTTTCTCCCATGCGAAATCTAGAACAAAAACTACATCTTGCACTGGGCCCTTGCACAAGGGTCATGGGACATTCACAGATAAGAACAAAGAAATGAGCAAAATGCTGAAACTACAGTGTGATTCTATTTTCAGTGATCCCCTGAACACACTGAAGATCAAAGATTCAGATGAATTCTTTGTGATACCACCATTGAACTATGTATCAGATGTCACCCTAACCTCCACTCTTTGAACTAGCCAGTGGGCGAGCCATCGTGAAATGACCAAGTGAATCACTGGTTTAAATCATACATTTATATTTACTGCAGTTCCCGTTGTGCAGTGGCAATGTACTCACCCCGCGCTTTGCAAGTGATTTGGCCTAGGTTCATATCCTGGCCGGGGAGGAGGGGAGGATTGACTAGACACCAATCCTGAACTGTTTGCCTCTGTTCACCCAGCAGTGATTGGGTACCTGGTTGTTGAAAAGATTGGCGGGTTGTATTCTAGGGAAACTAGTGGGGGTAAGGCTTGCCATGAGCAAAGGTAAGGGAAAGCTCTGTCCACAGCTCTCGGCCTGCTAACTGGGGGTCAGCATTCGTCTGTTCCTGTACCCACCCGTGTAATAATAATAATAATAATAATAATGTTAAATGATAAATAACAAGCCAACCAAACCCAGTGCAATTTGGCCATCTGGAAGATTAACAATGGATTGCAAGCACAAAATGCAAGGGTAGAGAGGCAAAATCTCAGACAAATAACCCCTGAAAGTATTCTGAACTTGATCAAATCTCATAAACAGGTACTTGAGGACAAAAATCCCAGGTACAACCGTCACCTATGCAACTCAAGCCTCCAGAAGGGATGCCACTCTAACCTCTAGAGAATATAACTGGCGAGTAAATGAGAAATGCAAGTAGACAGAAGAGTTAACCATGAAACAAAGGTGGAACTAACCACTATATGGACATAAAAAATTAAAAATGTAATTGTGAAGCAGATCAGAGTGGAGAGCTCTGACATGGGGTGGGAGTGGCTCTGTTCCGTAGCGAGGCTTGTAGTGTCTGGTGTGAGAGTTGGAATTCGATTGTCGATGGTTTGTCTGACTGCTTATATCTGTGTAAATGTAATTTGGTCTGATGAGAAGTTCTGCTGGTTACTGGAACTCCTTGGGAACATGTATTAATATATTTACAGAGTCATTAATGGTTAGTGAATCGATTGCAGGTGTTATTAGGGATTATGGAGATTATTGGGAACCTTTTTGTAGTTACAATAGAATTTTTCAATGTGAAATAGTTTGGGGATAATTTAAGCAGGTGGCACATTAGAGGTAATGCAGTATGCTTCACTAGGAACTACACATTGACAATTGGTTTCACAATAAAAGTAACAATATTGCTTTAGTTGATGTAGAAATTACCCATCCTTAAGCAAGTATTCTTATACTGTATTGTAAAATCCTGTTATAGTGGCTATTCTGTAATAAAGGGAAAAAAAAGACAGGCTGACCTTGCGTGTGGTGGAATGTTGTTTGGCGCGGATATAACCGAATGGCTGTGATGAGGGATTCCACTAGAATCCACAACCTTTGCAAGATTGCTCGAGTGTGTATGATGCACAGGTGTGTACATGTACAGTAGGTTGAATCCTGTACATGGGAAAGTGGAGGAGTGTGCAAATAGTGTAAATAAACACAAAATCCTTGTATTAGAAATGTTGGGATTCTCATTTGTATCATGGTTATGTAGTGTTGCATACATGTATGTGAACATGGTTGAGGTACATGTGATGGTGAGGGATCATACGTGTGTGGTGCATCACGTTCATGTGGTTGTAAGTATAAACAGCATGTTTTTTTATAAAAGATTAAATGAGAGGTGTTGAGATTTGTGATGTATAAATGGCCAGATTGTGAGGTGTAAATACGTGCCATGGACCATTTGGTTTCATGTAGTGTTCTGCTCAAGTACTCGCCTAGTTGTGCTTGCGGGGGTTGAGCTTCTGCTCTTTGGTCCTGCCTCTCAACTGTCAATTAACCTGTGTACAGATTTCCGAGCCTATTCGGCTCTCTCATATCACCATGTGAAACTGTGTATGGAGTCTGCTTCCACCATATCACTTCCTAATGCATTCCGTTTGTTAACTACTCTTGACTTAGTTTTTCTAATATCTCTAAGGCTCATCTGGGTACTCGGTTTCCACCTGTGTCCCTTTGTGCATATGCTCCCCATTTTAAATATTCATCTACCTATCATTCATATGAGAATCTTGTATGTGGTGATCATGTTCCCTCCCCCAACTCTTCTTTCTTCCAGCAACGTGGGGTTTAGTTCCCTTAGTCTCTCCTCCTCAAGTGGGATAGTATGTAAACAATTATAGGGTATTCAACTGTGAAGATTGCATAGTGTGCACATGGGTGCAGGCGGGAATTGTGTACATGGGTGTAGGAGGGGAAAATTGTGTACATGGGTGTAGGAGGGGAAAATTGTGTACATGGGTGTAGGAGGGGAAAATTGTGTACATGGGTGTAGGAGGGGAAAATTGTGTACATGGGTGTAGGAGGGGAAAATTGTGTACATGGGTGTAGGAGGGGAAAATTGTGTACATGGGTGTAGGAGGGGAAAATTGTGTACATGGGTGTAGGAGGGGAAAATTGTGTACATGGGTGTAGGAGGGGAAAATTGTGTACATGGGTGTAGGAGGGGAAAATTGTGTACATGGGTGTAGGAGGGGAAAATTGTGTACATGGGTGTAGGAGGGGAAAATTGTGTGCATGGGTGTAGGAGGGGAAAATTGTGTGCATGGGTGTAGGAGGGGAAAATTGTGTGCATGGGTGTAGGAGGGGAAAATTGTGTGCATGGGTGTAGGAGGGGAAAATTGTGTGCATGGGTGTAGGAGGGGAAAATTGTGTGCATGGGTGTAGGAGGGGAAAATTGTGTGCATGGGTGTAGGAGGGGAAAATTGTGTGCATGGGTGTAGGAGGGGAAAATTGTGTGCATGGGTGTAGGAGGGGAAAATTGTGTGCATGGGTGTAGGAGGGGAAAATTGTGTGCATGGGTGTAGGAGGGGAAAATTGTGTGCATGGGTGTAGGAGGGGAAAATTGTGTGCATGGGTGTAGGAGGGGAAAATTGTGTGCATGGGTGTAGGAGGGGAAAATTGTGTGCATGGGTGTAGGAGGGGAAAATTGTGTGCATGGGTGTAGGAGGGGAAAATTGTGTGCATGGGTGTAGGAGGGGAAAATTGTGTGCATGGGTGTAGGAGGGGAAAATTGTGTGCATGGGTGTAGGAGGGGAAAATTGTGTGCATGGGTGTAGGAGGGGAAAATTGTGTACATGGGTGTAGGAGGGGAAAATTGTGTACATGGGTGTAGGAGGGGAAAATTGTGTACATGGGTGTAGGAGGGGAAAATTGTGTACATGGGTGTAGGAGGGGAAAATTGTATTGTACACGTGTGTTGGGAGGCCCCCCTCTCTCTCCCAGTGGGTCGTGTTCCTAGGTGTAGGGCACTTGTAGGGTGTGGTGGTAGGTGGGGGGGGGGGGGGTCATGGGTGTAGGAAGAGGTGTGTGTATGTGTGGGTGTAGGAAGAGTGTGTGTGTGTGGGGGGGGGGTTTATGCGTGGGGTGTAGAGATGGAAGGGGGCTGTGTAGAGAGCGTGGACTGGAAGCAGGGTGCAGGTTTGCGTTTCCTGGAGGATGAAGCTGAGCATTACGTGTTGGTGGGAGTTTACACTTGTTGCTCACTTCCGTCCCCTCCCCCGCTTATAGCCTCGTCGCGCCTACTGACGAGGAATACCTCTAAGAGGAACCCACTTGGAGTTTAGATGCTATTGCAAGCTGT